GATGTTGTGATTTGAGATAGTCAAGAAAGCGTTGGATATGATCAATATGGCGGAAAATAAGGGAAGCATCATCAACATACCTTCTCTAGAGAACAGGTTTGATGCTTAAGGACAGTTGTCAATCCAGTTCCATTCGTGGTGACAGAGAAAAGTGTTGGCCAGGATAGGACCAACTGGGGAACTCATAGCAACGCCATCTATCTGCTCATATAGAGTATTGTTAAAGAGGAGAAGAGAGTCTTAGGTCGAGAGTTCAAGCATAGATTTGAAATCAAACTTAGAAAATCCATTAACAAGAATGTTTTTAGTGAAGAGATTAGAAAGTGCAATATTAACGATTTGGTCCAGGGGAATATTAGTAAAAAGAGAAGTAATGTCGAAGTTAGCAATCACGTGATATTTAAGGGGGGGGGGAGATGACTGATTTCTCGAGAAAATTGGAAGGAGTCAAGTGTTGTAAATTCGTTCATAGTAAAAAGTTTTAAGATTGGTACAAGAAATTTAGGTATGTTATAACTGTGAGTGCCTAAGACGGAAGGTTGGAGGAGGGTGTCTGGTTTGTGAACTTTTGACAGACCATATAATATATAATATTCCTGGTTGGGAGCCTGTGGGATATTTATTATTGTAAACATATATATATAATCAGAAATATTATTTCCTTTGCTTAGGTTTCTAAGAAATCTGTGGTTACAAACCCTCCCAACTCCACTATCTATTAACACAGTACAGAAACAGGACATCCAATTTCTCTCTCAAACTTTAAAATTCTCTCAACAACCAAACATGATACTGAACTTCTTATAAAAGAAACATAGTACATATAAACTCTTCTTCCATCCCTAAATAACACACAATCTTCATTATTTAAACCTATTTTAACTATTTCACTTGTGCCCCAGTTTTCATTTTCTCGTGTTATAATTGTATATTCGAATTGTTTATTTCATATCTATATATTTCTGTTGTCATTACAAATATGGTTTGTTTGTTTTGTACCTCTAGAGTACTGATGTTCGGAATTATGACGATTCCGAAACGTCTAATAAATGCTTCCTGTTATTATGCTTATGTTTTGTTTTATCATAATATGGATAAATTAATTATTCACAGACTTTTCTCTACGTTAAAATACTTTTATTTGCGAGCTTTTAGCTCTCTTATCGGAGCCTTCATCCGGCAACAATGTACAAAAATGACAGAAGATCATTGTGATGGCGTGTAGTCTGGTGAGTTTTTAGATGGAATGTGGCAGTTTCTGCTGGACTCCTAGGTATTTGCTAATCAGAGGTACTAGAGATGTTGGTGGATGACATCTGTTGGTTAGAGCAGGTTTATCAGATTGCGAGTCAAGTGCCCTAACCACTTGGCCATCCCAGGCCTAGACTTCTTTCTTAAACATATCATATACGTCACTGTGTAGGATAAATAGATTCAGAAAGAGGTAGTACAATATCTGATGTTGAATCTATATGATGCAGTACTTGACTTGATGAAGTGTTTGGATGAGGAAGAGCAGCATCACAATTCCAATGATCAGCTGACAACTTCCCAATCATGACTGAGTTATTAATCACTTAGGACCGTCATTTAAACTGACTGTAAGGTAAACGACTGAAAGGAAGTGGTATTCATTGCTTTCAGAACTATCAAGTGATGTTTTTTGACGAAATGTGATTAACAATTGATTATCGCCAAAGTTAGGAACAGTTTGTTGATTGCAAGATCAAAAAATTGTATCTGATAAATAATGGGATAGAAAAGTATGGTTCTGTCTTATATGAAGCGCTTAAGGTAATATTGTATCGAACGTTCTCTTTTTGTAAAATGGTTGGAGGGAATAATATTAGAGAGCATGTATTGTATGTTGTTTCTTCTACGTCTATATTATATCTTTTACGTTTCTTTTCACTGATAAAGGGCTGGTTATTAATATAATACACCAATACTTTATCAATAGGCTTATTTTTTACTTGATTAACATCATTGTTCATTATTTTATTACAAGTTACTGCTTTTACAGTAAGGAATAATATTTTTAAATGATGTTTCAATCACCAGTGCAATCATTCTTAAGTACACAAGTGTAATTTCTTTTCAGGCACTGACGTTGTTTGGCACAATAAAAGGTAAAATCTTTATTACAGGTTACAGCTGACTAGTTTTGATAACATAGTTACCATCATCATTTGTGTTTTTCACTCTTGATACACAAGTATACTTGATAATGATCAAGACGCCATACCTGTTTTAAAAATATTCTTCCTTACTGTAAAAGCTGTAACTTGTAATAAAACAATCGTTGTAATCAGTGAATAAACTCAGAACGAAACTATTATTGTTAAAGGGTTGTTTTTTTTCTGATTTGATATTTGGTGTATTATTTTTGTTCAAGCTTGGCTACAAATTTAATTGTGCGTTTGAAGTGAAGCAGAGTTATTCTGTTATATTTTATGTGAATTTTGCATGGTTTGTTTTATTTGACATTTTGATTTGTGTTAAAGGGTATTTCTTTGTGTGTGTGTGTACAATTTTGTTTTTGATAATGTTTTATTTCTCTTTCATAATGTGGAAATGTTCTACATCAATTTCTTGAACATTGTATGATACATTTTAAACGAATTTTAACTTTTAAAGTTAAAGACAGCCTATTCAGTCTCTGATATGTGTTTCATACCAATAATTTAAATTAATTTTTTTTTCCAAAATTTCTCTACATATAGATACACTTTTGTTTGTAATCTTAATATAAAACGCCAGTCAAGGGAGCCATGAAGTACCTCTTACCCTAGTTACCTACTGAACTAGGTCACTCAACTATGATGTCACATGTACTTTCTTGTGGGAAAGATTCTTGTAAAATATAGCATACTGTATAGAAATAGACAGTGATCTTTTCCATTAACAAATCAGGTGATGCCTCAAAGATGCATCAACTTGACAGACATACTTGATTTGGTGGCTCTCCAGTGAAGGTGCTCTTGTTTCTAAACATTTATTTTTGTTTGTGAGTCAAAATTATTTTGATGTGTTTAACATGTCCAGTCTCTTTCTTTGCTTGAAATTTAGTCAAGGTCAAACAGTTCATATTGTGATCTATGAACCATTTTCTACTGAGCCTCCTGTTATTCTGTGAACCTGAGAATACGAGAATTTGCCTGAATACGTTGTACTGAGGAACGGGATCATTAGCCATTCAATATGTTAAAGGTTTATTGAGGATATTGGATCCACTGTTAACTCTAAAAAAATATATAGTGGCTCATGGAAATAATGTTTATTTATCGTTCAAATGAGAGCTCACAGTTGCACCCCTCCCACCCGATGATGGTCTTCATATCAAACAAGGATGTAAGTCAAAAAATATTATTAGTTCCACCTAAATGATACAAATTATTAGGGTAATAACTGCTAATGAACGTTTCACCCACCCTTAACCCTAGTTGTCATAGTTGAGCATCTGCATATCTAAACAGTTGAAAGTAAAGCTCACAGTATTTCATACTTTCTATTTGTGCCTATTATTATTTCAACTTTAGCAGTAAAATGACAAATTTAGTTGGCTTGATAATGTCCTTTTAATCATACTTTGACATATTTATCTTAAAACAAAATAAAGCTTCAAACCAAGATACATTAATCTATGCTCCAAGTAAAACATCCGTCTATTCTCGACCTTGGTAGAAATAGAATAATCATTCAGGACAGCTAAAACAATTTTGGTATCAAACAACAAAAGTTACTGGTTTTTATTCTTTTTTTTTCCTTATAATATCAATAATGAGATCCTTTTATCTATTAATACCTTTTTTTTTTACATTTTAATTAGTATCAATTTTGACAATTAAATGTAAGTTCCACGTTCGAAAAATATCTATATACATAGTATTTCATTCATTATTTGGATCAAAACATTTTCACATCTGATCCTGACCTTTTTTAGCTCAGATTTTATTTTGCATCCGTTTATTAGAATACATTTTACATTTTAGTTTGAACTAAAATCTTATTCATTTATCTATTAGGTACACCTTGTCTTTGTTAGTTACCTGAAAAATATTTGCAAATATCATCAAGGTAGAAATCCTGTTGTGTTTTACTTTTTCCTTAAATTGGATTTCAACCTAAGTGTCATGTTATATATATATGTATGCAGCATTCCTGGTGTTTGTTTTCTTGTATAATTATGTCACGAACACATGTTTTGTTCATATAAATTGTGTTTGTCTTTAATTATAACGTGCCTGATTTTATGTGCATGTTCCTATAACCATGTTGTGTGTCTGTTCTTGTGCAATATGTCATGTATTTCTTTTCATAATTATAACATTAATTATGTCATTTGTACCTGTTCTCGTGACTATGTAACACGTATGTTCTTATAATTATAAATATATAATATAATTACCAGCAACAGCATGTATTAACTTATGTTATAATAATGTGTCTACTCTAATTTCACTTATAATTCGTATTTACAAGTTCCACACAGTTTTCATAAGGGCTTAGTCATTAGCTGCAAGTATATATTTACTGAGTAGTTATGTTAGTACATTGTTTATTTGTTACTTGTGCTATCGCAGGAACTTATAGGTAAATAGTAGCGATTAGTACAGATTATTAGACTAAACATTTACTATTACTCCATTATAAGATTTTGGTAATTATGAATGGAGAAAAGACATAAGACACGAAAGCATAATTACTTGCTACTTACCATACATAAGTGGTTACAAACAGTCAGCATATAATTAATATCACCTAGTAGGTTTTGTCTGAGTTAAAAATCTATTTACCAGTGACATTAAAATGTAATTAGTTAGTTTTATACACCACCATACAAACTTAAAAGAGTGGTCAAATAAAAATGTCCTAGCTACAAAGTATATTTTCAATTAAAGTATTACAGTAGCAAAATGTTCCATAATGTGATGACTATAAGTCAAATCTTTACTGACAAAGACTTGAATGATATAAATTTAAAAACACTTCACAAAAAACATGGTAAACAACACATTTATTTCAATGACAGATAAAAAATTCAATTCACCAGTTTCAACGTTGTACTGTAGACTACTAGTGTGTTATTTATCAACAGTATAAGCTATCTTGTAACACCATTACAACAGTGTAGTTAAAACCTTTTGCAATTTCTGTGGTGCTTGAACTTCAGAAGTTGATTCTGGAAATAGTTAACAAAAAAAAAACAATTACTGTTCATTCTCATAAAGATGTGAGTTAGGTCTGAATCTGAGTAAACATCACAACTTAAAGATATAACGAGAATACTTGAAACGACAATGCTGTGGTGGTAAAAATTTGATATGTTTCCAATATTCCGGTCACAAAAAAAACTAGCATTCCAAAACACGTGGCAAAAACCTCGGCCCCGCTAGAACAACAAAAACAATTGAAACTAAGTCTTGGCAACAGTTGGAGGGTTAAACAAAAAAAGAAAAAACAAGCCTCAATTGAGAATCTTTCTCAAATTCACTGTAGTATATTTTTGATCCAAAATAAATTAACGTAATAACACAAATCTATAAGTTTTTTTTTCTAAATAAACAAATGTTAAACTAATATTAAATTTCTTTAATAGAGCTAAGCAAACCTGAGGCTCAATATTGTATTAAAAATTAATATAGTTGTTTTCAATCACTGTTAATATATATTTTATACATATATATATATCTCTGGCACAACTATATTTACACTATATATATATACATACAATGTCAATACCATCAAATAATATTTCCACAGACTCAACACAAACAATTGACTTTCTTGTGTTATTCAAAAAAAAAAAAGAGGAGAAAGAAAAAACAACAACAGCACTGAAAACAATTCCTATAATTAACATTTTGTCATCAAACATATTAAGGAAATGGAAAATAACATCTTGAACATAAAAGTAATGCTAATCATTCGAAAAACTCAGATTAAATACTCAACTCGTTTTGTATTGACAATGGTATCCTATCAGTTCGTGTATCAACTCTGGTTTCCTGAACTAAAAAGATTCCAAGAGATGGAACTGACCCTTACCCGATATCCCCCTTGGTTTTTGACTGATGTTACAAACACACTGTACTAAAATAATTCTATTCCCAATGTTAAGATAACTATACAACGTTTTTATCTTGAAAGTTGCACTCTTATTTCTTTGACTTTATGGTTTTAAACCCGCTCTACTTATGTTAGTTTTGTTGTTGTTGATAAGTACAAGTTTTGTGACGTATTTGAATTAGTGCAAGTATTACATACCTTCAAACTAAATGTTATTTATCAGAAACTAAAAAATATTCAAAAACTGTCAGTTAGATAAATTTTTACATTAACACGTCAAAGGGCTATGGAGGTCTAATTCTCTTAAGGAAAAAGAAAAACCTTAGCCTCCAAAAAAAATGGTATGTTATGTTGTATAACGTCAAGACTTTAGACAATTTAAGGCTTAACTTATCACTCAAATGGCACATTTTAAAATAAGATTATTACGAATGGAAAAAAAAAAGTTACTCTTTGAAACATACAGTTAATTATACATATGTGTTTCAATAGAGCAACAAAGAACGAAATCAAATTTACTGAACTGTAAACATGTACTAACACAGACCTGGGTTTAAACCAACAAATAAAACACGATGAACTGTAAACATGTACCAACACAGATCTGGGTTCAAACCAACAAATAAAACATGATGAACTGTAAACATGTACCAACACAGACCTGGGTTTAAACCAACAAATAAAACATATGAACTGTAAACATGTACTAACACAGATCTGGGTTTAAACCAACAAATAAAACATACTGAACTGTAAACATGTACTAACACAGACCTGGGTTTTAAACCAACAAATAAAACACGATGAACTGTAAACATGTACCAACACAGACCTGGGTTTAAACCAACAAATAAAACACGATGAAATGTAAACATGTACTAACACAGACCTGGGTTTAAACAAATATCACATGATGAACTGTAAACATGTACTAACACAGACCTGGGTTTAAACCAACACATAAAACATGACTGAACTGTAAACATGTACCAACACAGACCTGGGTTTAAACCAACAAATAAAACACGATGAAATGTAAACATGTACTAACACAGACCTGGGTTTAAACCAACAAATAAAACACGATGAACTGTAAACATGTACTAACACAGATCTGGGTTTAAACCAACAAATAAAACACAATGAACTGTAAACATGTACTAACACAGACCTGGGTTTAAACCAACAAATAAAACACGATGAAATGTAAACATGTACTAACACAGACCTGGGTTTAAACCAACAAATAAAACACGATGAACTGTAAACATGTACCAACACAGACCTGGGTTTAAACCAACAAATAAAACATACTGAACTGTAAACATGTACCAACACAGACCTGGGTTTAAACAAACACATAAAACATGCTGAACTGTGAACATGTAATAACATAGATTGAGTTTAAACAAACAAACAAAACATGCTGAACTGTGAATCTTTAGAGTTATGGGTAAAGAACTTAAGAAGATAGAGAAAGGTTAAAGGTAAAATCCAGTTAATTTTACTCTTTATATATCCGAGTTGTTAATAATAATGCTGTAATGAAAATTTACAGATTGGTAGAAAAATACCTCATATCAAAAAAAATATTTGTGTAACTTGCTCTAATCCATCTGATTTTTAAAGTGCTTTTTTTTTAAGAACTAATAAAAGTTCACTTAGACCAAGGTTGCTTGCTTCACAAAATAATAGCTTTTTGTTTGTCTATTACAAACCTCACTGTAATAAGTATGTGATCAGGCATATTACAACATAGGCAAGATAGTTTAAATATAAATTCATAATTTATGACTCAAAAAATATGGCTAAAGAATGCATTAACCTTCTTTCAATACAATCATTTTGTAACCTCTTTGGCATCAACCACATAAGAATGATCATACTCATGTAGCATTAATCATATGGCATATACAGGATGTATTGGAATGATTAGTAACATACTAGACTGCCCTGTATATGAGAAGTACATTTTGTTATGATATGTTACCACACCAAACACAAGATTGGTGTTTACAAAGGTTTTTGCTTTGCTGATAAAGTACTAATGTGTTCACAGCAATCCTTGATACTCGTGTCCAGTAGAAGTGTTAAAAAAATTACCTTTTTTTTTCCTTAAAATTAAGTTTCAATTTCAGTGACCAAACCTTGCAATGCCACAAACATTTCTGTATTTTAAGAAAAAAAAAACAATAAAAAAAACAACATGTGGCACTTTTATTACAAACTTCACTAAAAACAAAAAAAGCTCAAAAATGCAAAACTCGTAATGCAAAAATGATCTTTCTTCTGTGCAGAAAAATACATCTCTGATAAGGTAACTGCTGGTGTGGCACTAGGGTGTTATGTTTAATATCTAATGACGGAGTTTCTTCGTAAGTAGTACTGAGTCATCAGAAGCTCAAATGTTCTTGGCTTTTTTACTATGAGTAAATGTGGTTTCCAGTTCAGAAGCTTCAGATAAGCTGTCATTGATATCGATATGGCTCTGTCCAGTCAGCCCCTGTTGAAAGGAGGTTAAACTTGAAGTTGAGTCCTTCAGACCATTGCTATAAGCTCCAGTGCTACAGCTACTACTTAAGGGGGAGCTGTGAGGTAATATTTCCATGGTGGTTATGTCCTCTGCTGACCCATTCTCCCTAGCATCAGTTGAGTTTCTGTGTAAAGCTGGAAGTTTAGATGTCATATCAAGCTTTCTTCCGAGTCCAATGAACTAAATTCAACGAAACAAAATACATATATTTAGGCTAGGCTTACGGTAAAAATTTGTATCTTATATGTAATTACTTTGTAAAAAACCTATCATTAAGAAATGTGTAGTGCAAAAGCTGAAAACTGGTAATTTGTAACACCCTCAAGTAGTGAGCCACCAATCATAAACATTGTAAACATTCAGTTTGAAGTAAAAAGAACATTATAAACAGGTAATATATATAGTAATGTAGAGTACAAGCACTGTATTATGAAGCAGAATCAGGTACTAATCAACTGAGTACAACCATTGTATTATGTAGTACCAAGTATAAACACACACACATATATATATAGTACTATACAGTAGCATCAAGCATTAAGATATCATGTATAAACACTGAATTATGTGGTAACCTAAAGCAGTAATGCACTGAGTAACAAAACTATATTATGTAGTAACCTCAAGTAGTAATGCACTGAGTAACAACACTATATTATGTAGTAACCTGAAGTAGTAATGAAATAAGTACCAATACTATATTATGTAGTAACCTGAAGTAGTAATGCACTGAGTAACAACACTATATTATGTAGTAACCTGAAGTAGTAATGCAATAAGTACCAATACTATATTATGTAGTAACCTCAAGTAGTTATGTACTGAGTAACAACACTATATTATGTAGAAACCTGAAGTAGTAATGTACTGAGTAACAACACTATATTATGTAGTAACCTGAAGTAGTAATGAAATAAGTACCAATACTATATTATGTAGTAACCTCAAGTAGTAAAGCACTGAGTAACAACTCAATATTATGTAGTAACCTCGAGTAGTAATGCACCATGTACAAACACTGTAAATATGTATTCTTTATTAACCTCAATTAATAAGGCTCCAAGGACAAAAACTGTACAAACTCAAGTAGTATAGCATAAAGAACAAACTCTAGGCATAAAGTATAAGCAGCGTAAAAAGTATTCTTAAAAAACATCCCTTGCACTAGACTCTTTGTGACTACTGCATTCAGTGTTAATTCACATTCTGATGTATACAGGCACTGTTCAGTTCTGAATTTTGAATGGGAAATCTATTAGAAAAAAACACACACAGAATTCTGTGTAAATGTGATACCTGAATTAATTAAGTCATATAAGTACAGATTTTTAGGTAAATTAAATCCTTACTTACTTCCCCCATTACTGCAATTGGAGTTTCTCCTATTGTCTCAGCAACCTTGTGTTCTATAAGGTAGAACATATATTCATCATAGAGAAGTCGTATCAAATGAAAGGATCCAAAGCTGGCAGCACTACGAAGTGTCAGGTCTCTGATCACCATAGAGCTATACAGAAAAAAAACAAAACACATGGGTAACGTACTAAATTGTTTATATTCTACACATACAGCCTACTATAATAATAAATTAAAGCATATTTCACCGAAGAATCGTAATAAACGAAACAAATTTAGATGGTTTTAATAGTTCGATTAAATAAACAAGCGAAGTATATAGAGTTCTGATTGTTTGGTAAAGTGCAGTATAACTTAATGGATCAAAAGATTTATGTATTTTCTTTATAAAAAAACTTGACACAAATAACTGCACAACCAATTTAATTAGCATTAACTTTATTCCAATATCAAACATATTATGTTACATAAAAGCAGCTTAGAATAAGAAACACGTTAGCTCATACGAGGATGGTTACATTAGCAAAATCTTTTCTGTAAATAGTTTTTTTTTCCTGTAATATTATTATTTGAACAGACACACAGATAGCAGTACGAGCAAAATCGCCGGCTAAAATATAAGAAATGCTTTATCGTAAAGTCACCTATAAAATGACCACTTGAGAAGAAACTGCCGAGCAGCTTTAGGAAAATCAGGCTTTCCTTCAAACGGCTGCAGGACTAGATTAACCACTGCCTCCAACCAAGATGCCCACTGTTCAAGCGAATTCTGCTGCTGGAGGGTCATCTTGAAGTCTTGTTCTAGACGCTGCACCATTTCATCTTCACACTGACAGACCCATGAAGCTTGTTCCTATGAGAATTATGAAGCCTTTAATTAAAAAAAAAAAATTCCTACTACTAAATATGATAATTACTGGAGGGTGCTTACTAATATTCCTTGATTATTTTCTTCCTTTTCATAGTAGACATTCCTAGTCAAATCGCATGAAACTTAGTATACATTTACTAACTGGTATGTAGATTCAGTTTCAAAATATTCTTATGACTTAATATATCTAATTTTTGAGTCGTGGAATTTCCAAAATTTTGTTGTTAGACACTGTTGAAAAAACATGAAAAATAGTTTCATCTTGGAATTTAATTTTTACTGGTGATTAGAGAGTTCTATTTTACATATACAGTTAGTTTCAATATGATTCGTATTTATTGAAATATTTCTTTCGATACTTTACCTTCCCAATTGCAGTAGTCATCACCCCTTGTATCTATAGATCCTACAAAATGTGGCAAAAACTGACAAATCTTTATTGGTGACCTCACCTTTCGAAATGGGATTGTCATTATATTTTTCAAATGAGGTATCATGAATTCTTGCTAACAATATCAATTTGTATGTGATAAATATAGTCCTTTTCAATAAAGAATAATATTTCATTTCGGTCATATTCGATAGAATAAACTTAACAATAATACTCAACAGATAAAGCTTTGGACCATCAGAATATTCTGCCATTACCGACGATGTCTAACTATAGAAGAAAATTTCTGTAGCTTTTAGACAGATATGACAGAACATGATTACATTGTCAGGAAAGAAAAAAAAAAAGGTTTAATGAAGCTATGAAAAAAATCACAGAACTATGATTTGTTCATAAATGTTCTAAAAACTTGCCATTAGGTTCCTTTGCTCACTCCTGTAGGACCTCCAGTTAGTCAATATCTCAAAATACCACAGTACTTTACTTACACTGTACTGCCATCAGTAATTTATAATCTGCTATATCCAATCACATTTAAGCACTGGCAACAGCTATTTTAATATCCAATCACATTTAAGTACTGGCAACAGCTATTTTAATATCCAATCACATTTAAGCACTGGCAATTGCTATTTTAATATCCAATCACATTTAAGCACTGGCAATAGCTATTTTAATATCCAATCACATTTAAGCACTGGCAATAGCTATTTTATTATCCAATCACATTTAAGCACTGGCAATAGCTATTTTAATATCCAATCACATTTAAGCACTGGCAATAGCTATTTTAATATCCAATCACATTTAAGCACTGGCAATAGCTATTTTAAAAGATAAGCTTCATTAGTAACTGTTAAAACTGTATGCTGTGACACATAAAAGGGGTGGCAACAAAGAGCTGTAGTAATAAAACCACCAACACAGAAGGAAATTCATGTCAGAAAGAAAACTGGAAAAGAAGATCTGAATGATTATATTTTCAAGGGGTGATAGTTTCTAAACATAATAAAAACTTTACTTTACAATCACAATGAAGGTTCTCTTTAAAACTGTAGTAAATATGTGTCTGTATGAATAGGAATTCTGTACAATCTTAAGTTGTGAGGGACTTATTATTAATACTGTTAACAGGAATTTATATACGGTAACACCAACAGCAAACACTGGAACAGGTCATTCTGTACAATCTTAAGTTGTGATGGGACTTATTATTAACACTGTTAACAGGAATTTATATACGGTAACACCAACAGCAAACACTGGAACAGTTAATTCTGTACAATCTTAAGTTGTGAGGGACTTATTATTAATACTGTTAACAGGAATCTATATACGGTAACACCAACAGCAAACACTGGAACAGGTCATTCTGTACAATCTTAAGTTGTGAGGGACTTATTATTAATACTGTTAACAGGAATCTATATACGGTAACACCAACAGCAAACACTGGAACAGGTCATTCTGTACAATCTTAAGTTGTGAGGGACTTATTATTAATACTGTTAACAGGAATCTATGTATAGGTAACACCAACAGCAAACACTGGAACAGTTAATTCTGTACAATCTTAAGTTGTGAGGGACTTATTATTAATACTGTTAACAGGAATCTATATATGGTAACACCAACAGCAAACACTGGAACAGGTAATTCTGTAGAAATCTCAAATCCAAGGTTCAGCACTTCATTAGAAACCATATAACTGTCTTTTATGCTATACTTTTTGTAATGCTAACATATAGGGTCTTCCACTAGGTGGTTTATAACTCGAGTGTGGGAACATTCAAATCTGCCAAATGATAATAAGTTGACTATAAAAGACCACGACACATACGAGCATGATGCAGAAGTAGTGAGTGACTTGTTCAGGATTTTGACGAGGTGTAATTATATGAAAGAAGTGTCTGCGTTAAAGAAACTTTATTACTTAATGTACATTAATGAAGTAGGATCATCTACGAACTTCTTATTGAAAACCTAATAATATCCATCAAATTGTTTCTCAATGTAAACAGCTAATTCTAAGTAATATATAGGGTTAAACATTACCAACGGCAAACCAGCGAACTGCTGTATTAGTATTCCATTCTTGCTAGAAAAACTTAGAAGGCACTAGAAGCGATTACTAGAACATAGTTCGAAAGACTGAGTAACATATTCTTACTGTCAAGTATCAATACACTAGCGATACACATATTTCAGTCATTTCTGTTGCAAGATTCTGAGTACAAAGGGTAACTATAGTACTGATTAATAAGATTTAGTGTTTCACTTGCTGATACTATGCCAGTTTTGCAATCCCCATTTGAGCTGTATGGCAGACCCAGGTTAAGTATTAGAAAACAGGAAATAGCAAGACTGTAACTTCAACTGTTACTGTCGGCCGCAGTGCAGTTTTGCCCAACCACATGGTTAGAAATACCCTTCTGAAGTGGTTGATCATTAGAGGTAACAATAAAATGGAAGTAATGTAAACTACAGATATTTTTCCACACTCCCATTACTGTACGATCAACACAAATGTCAGACCCAATGGTTTCTAATACTTCACTGACTTTTGGCATTTAAACAATAACTTTTAATAATAAAATACCTTTTTGGCATAGGGTGGACTGCATACTTAAAAAAAAATGTTTGGTTGCCCATGTCTGATCCTGTCCAAGAACAGTGGGTAGGTAAGTAGACCCTTTGTTTTATAACATGAATAGAATCAAAACACAGCACAAGGACAAAAAAGGAACAGTTCAACATTTGCAGATTTTAATGCATAACTGTTCAATCCATTTAAACCAAATGTTAAACATGTTTTTAATACAATTTTAAAAAATAAAAAGCAACACAAGAGTATTTAAATATATCACGTGGCCTTGTTATAGTATTTAACAGCAAACTAATAAGTTACAATTTACCTAAACACTAGTCCAATTTGACATTTTATTCTCATGTTCATCCCTACATAAAACACAAACTTCAATGTTTAGAGAAAATTACTTTCATTACAAAGATGGATTTGCATAGTTAGCTTAGAAAGTTGCCAGATATTATCAGGTTTTCAGCCAAAACTGTTGTTAACAGCAAGAGTACCCAGCTGATGAAATAATTATTCTAATCTTTACGAGTACATACATAAAAAAAGTATATTTAATTAGATATGCTGATGGTCAGGTTGATTTTCGTAGAGTCAAAAAATGCTATAAGAAATGACTGGCAAATTGCTTATATCATTTTGAAGTTTATCACCTGTATCCTTTAAAAAAATATTTATATGCAGGCCATCTCTATTTTAAAACTTGAGATATATAATCATTTGTTAAGACCAGGGCTGTCATTATTATATAAAGTAAAATGGGTTCTGGAGGTTCTCCTCCACCACAGGTCAAGGAGCAGCACCCCTTATCAGGAGGTTCAGGGGCTAAGCTCCCAACTGAAATTGAATTTTAAAACGGGTTCTGGAGGTTCTCCTCCACCACAGGTCAAGGAGCAGCACCCCTTATTAGGAGGTTCAGGGCCTAAGCTCCCAACTGAAATTGAATTTTAAGCTTTGTCAAGACAGCTAAATCTTGCTTCTGAAGCTAAATTTTAAGCATTTTAGGACAGCTAAACCCTTGTTTTTTTTGAGCAACATTAAAATTAAAAACTTGTTTCAAAATGAATTCATGAAGATCTTTTCCACATTTCCATACATATGATACAAGAGATTATAAAATAACGATCACAGGAAAAACTATGTAGTATGTTTAGATTATCAATCAACAATTTGGGCATAGTGTTCTACAGCGACATGAGCCTATTACACCGTCCTCTTGAACAAAAGTGTTTAAAAAAAAAGAGCAAGCTTAGCCCGATTTCATTTATCGTAATGAAATCTAACTTGCTCTGTGCAGAGTAGAATCAAATAAATTTGTACAATATTCTATCTCAATCAAAATTAGATCAGAGTCTATACTTACACACACTTCTTTCTGCTGTTGTCTATTCATCATACAGTGTGGAAAACCTGCATTATTTTATATTCAGAGGGGCTTTAACTATACAATTTTTAAGGAAATGATCCATTTTTCACTATTTTATATGTATATACAACATTTTATCTTTGTATTAGAACATTTCAGTAAGAAAAAAAATCAGAAATTCTATTCACAATTGCTGACAAAAAATTTAACAGCCAGTTTCCGAATTGAAAATTTAATGAAATAATTTTTGTTTTCTTGTCAGTAGTGATCAGTATTTTGAGAGTTTACCTCAAATATTTCAGAAAACCCTATAAAGTCACCTTCAAACTTATATTTTTATATTCCATGTCAGAAAACATGCACAAACAAATAGTTTAAAATCCCTTCCAGAACCAAGAACAACTGTAATGCTGGAGAGGGTAAACAAATTAGTCAATATCTCAGCTGGTGACTGGGTGTGTTAAAAATAGTGTGTACAAAAATTAACGCTGAATTATATCACAAACCAGTTGGTCAAATTGTATTTAAATACAAAATAGTGATGAAATTATTAGCCCTAGAATGCCAGTGTTAAATTTTCAATCATTAACACCAAGTAGTATGGGATCATAATGACCCCATGCTGGAATTCTAGGGTTAATAGTTTAAATTTAGTAGTTGCTTTGCACAAAGTAGCCAGGTCTTGATGCATATTTTAGTGGGGGAAATCATCAGCCCCTAGGGGATTTTGGCAGCACTGGTCAAGACCTTCAATAGAAGCTATATACGTGTGAGTTCAATCAATAAGATCACAGCTCTCTGAAAGCTTGAGAATTATGTAACTTCCATTGTAAGTCTGTACAGTTACTGACAGACATCAATATAAGCCATAATAAAAAAAAAGATAAAATAGATAGTTAGTAGTTCAGCTGCGATACAGACATTTTTTGAATATTTATCTAGAAAAAAAATTAATTAGATAATCAATGTTTTAGTATCATTTCTCTGTCAAAAATTACAAAAATAGATTAGAACAATACTTTTTTAAAATATAAATGAATTTATGTTACCCCAGTAGCAAGCCAGTTAAATATTTAAAAAATTTTCTATTGATATAGTTTTAGTAAATTTGTATCAACATTAAAAATATCCTCCTAACGTAAAACATATTTTTTTAAGTAAGACTTTGATCCAGGGCTGATTTAGCTCCAGGCTACTAACTTAAAAACAAAACCAAACATGTACATGTATTCTTATTAATAAAGCTGACTTATTATTACATTGACAAAATAAACAATAAGACCAATTAATATTACAAGTGATACATAAAATAAGACTTAAATAGTATGATTAACAGAAAGAGATTATTTAATAAACCTGAGATGTAGATTTATTGCTGAGCATAGCAGAATATGTGTGTATGGGTGGGAAATCTTCTGTTGGTTGACAGAGTATAGGGGGTATGGCCAAGACACTTCAGAGAGAACACAGGAGTGGCACAGGGCCCAAAAAATAATTTATAAATAAAATATGGTTTAAAAACATAGCTGTGCTGGCACCTGGTGGTTTTTGTCTTACGGTATTGATATTTTTTTCGTGTTAAATTAAGAAGCACGTGAAACATTTTAAAATTAGATAAATAAATACATAACAACCTTTTATTTTTGTCAGTCCTTCACAGATTATATTACACAATTCGTACGGTTGCATACAACCGGAGACAAGGCTTTTGCGTTAAGTTATTATAAGAAGTAATTCTTGTCAGTATAAATGCTTGTCCTTGATTTCTTCTGGACTCTTGGTTGGGAAAACATCTTCACTCCCACTAATTCTGTCACTCATTACTAATAACATCCAGGACTGCTCTTACAGAAGACTGACAAGTTAAGAGCATTACTAGTTGTGGAAGGTCAAGTACAGTACTTACCTGGACATTATGAAAATCTACACGATTCAGATCTGCCAACATTTGACTTATTTGAGATGAATTCTGCAAGACAGCTCTAGCAGCTTGAGCCAGATGGTTTAATGAGGTGTAACGCCGTAAGGTTTGGGCAAAGGCACTCACTGCACTGACCTTTGACATGAACAGAACATTTATTTAATACGAATGAATCCGAAAAACATATATTTTTTTATTACTTTTTCGCTTCTCCAACACGTGAGCTATTTTTGCAAGGTTAATAATTAACAATATAATTTGAAGTAAATGTTAAAAAGGTATACTTATATAAATATTATACAATAAAAAAATGTGCAAATAAATGTTAACTCTCATTCAGATAGTTACTACCATTAATTACAACTACCATAATTTTATTCTACCATAATATTAAGATCTATATTTTTTTCAGCTCAAGTAGTATATATGCTTTTTATTTAATACAGGGTATCCATAAATTATCTGACCCATTTTAAAAATAAATAACTTCAAAAATATTACAGATAGAACACTCCAGGTTTTATTTAACTTGCCAAACAACTCATAAAGTTTTTTCTTTTCTCCTTACTGTTGCAGATCCGTTGTAGAAGTATTGCTAGGAAAGTGAAAAAAAAAAGGAAGAACTAGAAACATCCCAGGAAAAGGTGCAGTGTGTGGTTTGGTTTGCTGAATCCGAACTTAATTGTGACAGTGTAACAAAATTATTGACACATTAAGAAAAAGACCCACCAACTAAGAACAGCAAAAAAGCTTAGTTTGAAAAATGTGTGTTACAATAAAAGGGAGCTGGACGTCCAAGTGTATCTGATGCACCAATTGATCGTGTACAAGTTGCATTTCTTAGAAGCCCAAAAGAGTTCGTTCACCGTGATTCCCTTGAACTTAACTTGCCAAAAAGAACAGTGAACAAAATTTACACTAATGATTTCGTTTGCATGCCTACACGGTGCAATTACTGCAGGCTCTCGAACCAGATGATTGACAAAGGGGCAAGGATTTTGCAGTGGAAATCCTCGATCAGGATAATCGATACCTTGCAATAGTTTTCTTTTCAGACAAGGCTACATTCCATGTTTCCGATCATATCAATCAGCTTAACGTCCGTATTTGGGGTCATAAAACCCGCACGTGGTGTATGAGCACAAACATGACAACCCAAAGATTAATGTGTTGTGTGGCTTGATTCGTGATAGAATTATCTGGCAATTTTTCTTCACTGAAACAATTGTGACTGGGACAAATTACTTTAGACATGTTTCAGCTGTGAGTTGTCCCTCAACTGGAAAATCTGTCTCGTTATTTTTAATCCAGATGGTGCTGCACCACAACAGGAGCCTTGACATCCAGGAGATCCTGAATAACACATTCCCAGATAAATGGATTGGTAGAGATGGACCAAACATGATGGCCCCATATTCCCTTGTTGTATTTGTTCTTGTGAAAGATCAGGTATATTCAACACCTGTGTGCGATATTATGGATCTTCACCACAGAATAATTGATGCAATATGACTGCCGAGATGCTGAACTACACCTGGAGGGATATATAGTCTATACATTCTTCAAGCAACAAAAGTATACTGAGACAAGAAAAAAAGCTTTATGAGTTGTTCGTCAAGTTCTATCTATAATATTTTATTAATTTTCAAAATGGGTCAGCTAATTTATGGACACCCTGTATAACAACCACTGATGGTTACAAATGTTTTCTTTCTTAGCAAACACACTCGATGACTAAAAATCTATTTATTTATCTCAGGCTGGAAACTACAGTAGTCCCTCTTAGATATGACCACCTATCTGCCATGATAAAAAAAAATCATTATTCAATGGATCAATAACCAGATAACAAACAACTGAGTTCAAGCTGTGTCCCGGGGCTTGAACATAATGACTTATATACTGAAAAGCAGTGATAGTTAGGTAGAATTGAATAGAGGGAGTCAAATACATAGTGAGAGTATGTCACACTCATATTGGTGGAGGGTTGTCACATGATGATTTGCATGAGAGACGCATTGGAATTAGTCAATTCCAACGGAGGGGAGAAAAAAGGCTTGTGGCATGCATATTTTTTTGCACATAGAGGGCAGCACTGAACGAGAAAAGCTATTTATGTGAGAAGAGGTAATGTACTGTATCAGAACTACTGTTTCTTTAAGCTTACAGTGGCTTATTACTGGAGTCTCAGTTACATGGCAGGAATACAAACACATTAAGCTATACTTAGAATACAGTGACTTCAGATTGAGGTCTTAACCGCCTGACAACAATACAAACTTAAAGAACTGGGTGATTAGTGGAACCTGCTAATTACATTTGATTAATCAATTAGTAAAGTGTTCCTCAAACCCTGATTCATATAAGAAATAAAAATAGATAAAATACGTTATTGGTGGGTGCTGCTAGACAATTTCTTTCCATCTAGTGAGCAGTTCAAGAAGGGGGGTGATAAAAGAAAAGGGGGGGTCCTGAATCACCAAAGATGAACAAATATTTCAATTACTTGGATAGCTAAAAGAATAAAAAAATATCAATAATCAGCAACCCTGCTTTTCATTAGTTGATTATTTTCATTACAGTTGGTTTAATCATGATTTTAATTAATTCATTGTTGGAATAATTGAAAACAGTAAGAACTGGAAACACTCATTTTGATTAAATCATTTGATAACCATTTCAGTTGACTGATTAGTTTACATGAGACTGATCAATGTAATCACTGTTCATAGGTAATCAAATATATCAATTAATCGCTCAGCTCTATTCCAAATACAGTGACTTAATATTGAAGCCTTAATTACACGACAGTAATATAAACATGAAGTTATACTCAAAATATAGTGACTTAATATTGAAGCCTTAATTTCACGACAGTAATACACACATGAAGTTATACTTAAAATATAGTGACTTAATATGGAAGCCTTAATATTATAGCCTTAATTTCATGACAGTAATACACACATGAAGTTATACTCAAAATATAGTGACTTAATATTGAAGCCTTAATTTCACGACAGTAATACACACATGAAGTTATACTCAAAATATAGTGACTTAATATTGAAGCCTTAATTTCACGACAGTAATACACACATGATGTTATACTTAAAATATAGTGACCTAATATTGAAGCCTTAATTTCACGACAGTAATACACACATGAAGTTATACTTAAAATATAGTGACTTAATATTGAAGCCTTAATTTCACGACAGTAATACACACATGAAGTTATACTCAAAATATAGTGACTTAATATTGAAGCCTTAATTTCACGACAGTAATACACACATGAAGTTATACTTAAAATATA